GTTTTACATTGGTTATTTACCCCTTCCCCCGTTCGACGGCAAATCTTTGGGTGAAACAAATGTGGGAAACCGGTAGGCGGTGTTGAGAGTGCGGGAGGGCGTTAAGCCATACCCCACTCAGCTCTTCCACCAGTGACGTTAGTACTAATCGTCCGTCGCCTGCCATGGTGCAAACTGTTTTGAAAGGGTGGACATGAAACGGGAAAAATCGACAAGAGTCAGCAACCGAAAAAAGTTGTTCTGGCGACTCTGAAAAAATTTTTTCAAAGGGAGAGACGACCCCATTCTCCCCAGCGATCAAATCCGACCCCTCTCCGCCCCTCCCCTGTGGTGGGATTTGTCCAACAATGCCGTACTTTTTCTACAGCGGTCCTAATTCTAAAAGTGATGATACGTATAGAGTTTAGCTCAGGCCATTATCACTATTTTCCCCTCTGTTTTTCTGAACAAGCTTTTTCCTCCGGAAATGTTCCCTCTAAAAGCTTGATTGATGAGACTGACGAGTTTGATTTTCAGACTCGACAACGTTACGCAGATTTGCATTCGAAGCTGGCAGTGCTCAAGTCACGTATATCGGATTTTGAACGTGCTCAAGATGTGGCCGCAAGTACGTCGACGGCTGTTCCAATGGATCTTTGCGATTTGGAGTAGCTGCCTGTATGCATGACAGCCGGCCAAAGTTCTGGGCCGTCTACATTTCCGGTAGCAAGAGCACTTTAACGCCACACTACATTCGTGTGTTCATCGAAATATGAAGCCGTACATGACGTGTGTCGCCCTATTAATTACCTTTGGGCACGTTTCTGGTTCCATTCGCTCTCTCCATGTGTTTAAATCATCAAAACCGGTTCTATTGGGCCATGTCGGCCGCCGTTATACGTTTTAGCTTTTTTTCTATTTCTATCCGTCTATCATTGCCTGCCTCAGTGCTTTTTCTACGGGCTCCCAACCAGTTCAACGTGATCACATATAGACAAACAACTGTTGCATTCTCACCCCCAAAACACTTAGGTACACTATTGCATCCTCTCAAATCCTATCATCTTTCCCATTCACGTACATCTCCCTGAAAAAAGAAAGATCTCGCAATCCGAGGAATCGCTGCTACCGTATTCCGTACGCTTGGTCTGATTACCTAAGTTCTGGGTGCTTCAAATCCCTATGCTACACTTGGAATATGACAAGAGAATCGTAATTTGCCTGGCTGGTGAGCGAGCGAGCGACGCAGCGTCGCGAGAGACGAGTTCCCCGCCTATCATTTGAATTGAATATTAAAGGGACGTGAAACGGTATTACTGAATCGAGCCAGCCGTAACCAGTTCTCACTGAGGTGCATTTCCCTCACTGATCGCCGCGACGGCGCGGTAAATTACGATTCTCTTGCCCATATGCCTGTCATACCGCTTCCTACGGGAGGAAAGGTAGCTCCTGTAACGGCCTGGGTTATGGTAGCAGCGGTTCGCTAGACTGCGAAACTTCCCTAATCCCCCGAATTCGTTTTACTACATACATGACTCAATTAAGATTTAGACTACAATTTCATTACATGCCTTGCTTTCTTTTTTGTATGTATGTTTCCCTATAGGCCTTCTAGATTTCTTGATCGCTACCCACCCCCTCACTTTGGTATGAATAATTTCGCTTTCGGTCGTTGACTGTTACGGGTGCCCTCACTGTGTATTTGCTGTGAAAATTTCCAAAAAAATGATTCTGGTGTTTCCTTATTCATTCATATATTCATCGCATTCATTCAATTATTCATTCATTCATTTCCTTGCTCGTGTAGTGACTAATTCTCTTCCATTTCTCAAGGCAAGTCTTTTTAT